CAAAAAAATTTTCCGGACAACAAATATTTTTCGGAACATAACACAAATTTTCGAAAAATCACAAAATTTGCCAAAAAATTGACTTAATTTTAGACAAGATTGACAGAATTTGCCCCATTTTTTTTTTTCAAACCAAAATTGCCCGACTGTTGATCGAATATTGCCCGACTGCCCAAAAAACTGGGGGGGCTACCGCCCCCCCGCCCGGTACGCCTATGATTGGTGGGAAAACGGGCCATTTATACCCGGAAATCATACAAATATTTGACTTTATATCAAATGAGTTATCAGTCAAATCTATTGGGCCATTCCATTTAATATAGGCACACCCCCCCGCTATTGAGGGGTCCCTTCATAATCCGCTTAGGATATAAAAATTTTAGAACCACTTTGGATGCGATTTTTGGAAGTTACCCCATGGATATCTTTATACCCCCTTTAGGATATCGTTTTTACCCCCTTGGATATCACTAAAACGCCTAATTTTTCTATTTTTTTGAAAATCTCTTAAGCTACCCTCTCGTGCATGTTCCATTTATTATGGCTGTTCTGTGTTTAGCAATAAAGTCTACTCAAGGAACTATAACTGCACAAACACACTTAATCAGGTCACATTCAAGTTCATACCTCATGACTTTGTCCAAAACTAGAGATAAGATTTAGCAGGTAGAATTTCTATAACTCAAAGTGTACTTCTGCCCCCTTTGCCCCTCCTATTAAAATGGGCCATTCTATTTAATATAGGCACCCCCCCCCCCATAGGATATCCAGACCCCTCAATACGGGGGGGTGCCTATATTAAATGGAATCTAGTTTTGGACAAAGTCATGAGGTATGAACTTGAACGTGACCTGATTAAGTGTGTTTGTGCAGTTACAGTTCCTTGAGTAAACTTTATTGCTAAACACAGAACAGCCATAATAAATGGAACATGCACAATCAGGCTTTCATTGGCAAGTCAACACATAATTGTAGGTCTATAGAGGTGCCCTTGGTGCGTGTTTGACCCCCTTGCCTTTTTATTGTTCCAACGTCCCTGTATATTAAATGCATCAAATCATTTTTTACCTGTAGTACCATTGTACATTTAGTTTTGCTTTCATATTTACTGAAAATATTTCTTAAATTGATATATATTGTTTTTCAACCAAAAAGGTCGCAGGCAAAAAGGATGACAAGTTATGTTGTGTTCTGTTGTGGGAGTTTAACATTATTCCATCACCAACTTCTGTAACAATCCGACAACCCAAGCTGGATATTTTAGAGGATATACTGAATGACCTACTATATACTGGTGAATTTAGATGAGCCATTGTTATGCAATTGCATTAAGCAGCCATTAAATCCTATGTGTTTGGTTAACATTCATGGTGAAGAGATGCCTGGTGATGTTGAAAGTATTGGTGCAGAAGGTGGAGTTACAGACATGGACAAGATTGATGAAATTCAGCAGTTGACCCAATTATTGGGTGTGGAACAGGCTGCTGGTGATGCTAAATACATGAATGATTCAAGCTCTGATTAGGAGAATGATGGAGACAAGGATTCTGAAGGACAAGGATTATGGAGGAGACACATTGTATCCTAAGAAAATGAGAATTAAGACAAGGATTGTGGAAGACACTTTGTATCCTTAGAAGTTTGTTGTAGCTGGTCCCTGGGAGAATAAAGATACCAACTTGTGATAATCATGTATAGATGATCAAAAAATCTCAAGTTGGAATTTAAAGTAGAACATGAGCAAGACATTTTTAGTTGGGATTTTCATATAAATTTATTCTTATTAAGACATCTGTTATTATTTAAGGTAAATATTTGATACTATAATTTTACCATTCCTCTTTCAAATAAATAAATGTTTTCAAACAGTTCTAAATCAGCATTAAATTCATAAGTTGAACTTTTCCCATACTTAGGATCAACAATATAAACAACATCAATTGCCATCATTGTCAGATTCCATTTTTCACAAAATATATTCGAATTCTATAAAAATAATGCTAAAATACAGTGTATTTAACTTAAAGGCACAGTTCAGCCTTTTGAACGATGGTTTTTAAGGCGCATTTGAGCCCTTTTAATTGAAAAATCTAACTAGGAAAATCAATTAAGCATAATTCAAAATCAGTAAACTCGATGTTTTTAACAATATAAATGTTTTAAAATGTTAAAAACATTAAGTTTGGAGATCTTGAATTATGCTTAATTGATTTTCCTAGTTAGTTTTTTCAATTAAAAGGGCTGAAATGCGCCTTAAAAACCATCGTTCAACAGGCTGAACTGTGCCTTTAAGCAAGACTTCTGTCAACCGGACGTCAGATTGCCGAGGATTAAAAACTGTACTGGACTAAAAACTGTGTTTGTGTCAGTTTGTGATAATCTTCAACACATATGATAAAACGTAAGACTTTTATAGTTTTTTGCTTCCAAGATTAGTTGTACAAAGTATCAGGTGGCGTCCATGTTGACAAAAACGTGGCTTGCTTAAAGGCACAGTTCAGCCTTTTGAACGATGGTTTTTAAGGCGCATTTCAGCCCTTTTAATTGAAAAAACTAACTAGGAAAATCAATTAAGCACAATTCAAAATCAGTAAACTCGATGCTTTTAACAATAAAAATGTTTTAAAATGTTAAAAACATTAAGTTTGCTGATCTTGAATTATGCTTAATTGATTTTTCTAGTTAGTTTTTTCAATTAAAAGGGCTGAAATGCGCCTTAAAAACCATCGTTCAAAAGGCTGAACTGTTCCTTTGAGTGTTAATTTTGTCTAAAAATTTTTTATTGGTTTCCATGAAAGCATTAAAGACCAAGTTTGAACGAAAAATGTTGAAAACTCGCAGAGTTATTTAATAAAATACATTTCGCTGCAATAAGAAAAGCATTGAAAATGTAATATTCAAATTCAATTTTCTCCCGAAAATGTTTACGGTAATTACTGATTTTCAAACGAGTTGTGCTCCTGCGGGTTTTAACCAATTTTTCTCACATTTTCACAGGACATAGCTCAAGACGTCAGTTTCAAAATTGTGTTCGGCTTTTTTTTAATTTTGGATATTTTAAAAATAAAGAGCAATTCACTCAAACAATTCAGAAATATATTGCAGTCGTCAAAGAAATCGCCATATCAGCGGAATGACAAAATAAACAAAAATTTCCGAACACAATTTTTTAGAACAACTATTTTACTGTATAAAAATGATATTTTCATAAATATAACTTAAAACCAGCAGGAGCACAACTCAAAAGCGTAACGGCACCGCGATTTAAGATTTTCCTGAATAATTCTTACATTATTTTATTGTTTGTTAATTTTACAACTTTACCATATTTTGCATGCACTGGAGAACATTTGGTGAAAATTTGATGAAAATCGGACTGATACTGAGCGCCCAGTAGCGATTTTACGCAAAACGCCAAAAAGGGTGTCCTGTAACCTTAATTAAGTTCACTATTATGTTACCACCCTATCCATAATTACGTCACTATTACTTCCCTGGTCTGGACACCAGGGGTGGAAAAAGTATCGGACCATGGGACCATTGGTCCCAGAAAATTGTTTGAGTTCCCAGAAAATATTTCCAAGAAAGAAAAAAAGATAATTGTAGAAATTTATACAAAGGGAAAAATTCAGAGGAAAAATTCTACTCAATAGAAAGAATGTTACCTGTACTGTACTGTACTGTACTGTACTGTACTGTACTGTACTGTACTGTACTGTATGTACAGTATGACCTCAGAAATACAATTAGAAGCACATCCATCTTAATAGTAAAATAGACAAATGTGGCATGGCAAATACATTTTTAGCCAATCTGAGACATCTGATTTTCAAAATTTTCTGGGGCACCATGCTTCCAGACCCCCTATTAGTGCCCCCTGGTAGTGCCCATTTTTTGTCATCTGTAAATTTACCTTAGGATCAGTCCCCTGATGTATGTTATCTAAATTAGTTTTAAGTTATATACCTTAAAATATAGCATGACCTTAGGTTTGACAACTTGTTAGAGTTACACAGTTACAGCGTTAGAGTGTCGATTTACTTGATTATTCGCAGAAAATTTTCCAGTGTTCTCTTGCGGTCCCAGAAAGTGAAATATTTTTCCCACCCCTGCTGGACACTTCGCTCTCATAAATCAAGGCAATTCGCTAACGCATCATGAGAATGAGGCTTCCAAGACAAAGAGAGGAGATTTGTGACGTAATTATCCGACTATGAGGACTGGACTAGATTTCAAGTCCGCGCAATTTGATCAAGTCAACTTGAAATCTAGTCCAGCTAGTCCGAATTGGAGGATTTGAAATGACATCTCATACGAATATATCACTACTTAAAGTGAGGTGAATAGATTTTGATCCAGTCCTAGGACTGAATTAATATAATTCACCGGGTATCCAGTATTATCATATACACAAGGTCTGGATATGAGGTATTCTGCAATCTGATTGGTTCTCTACTAGCAGGATATTAGCTCATATCCTGCTAGTAGAGAAAAACAAAATGGCGGCCAAACTGAATTTACGATGTTTTGCAAACTAGAAAACTGCAAGTTGTCGCTTTTTATAACCTTCACAGGATTAAAAACACAATGAAAAAACTCCCACAAATTGTTTTCAGATTAGCAAATAAATTTTTAAAATTTAAAATGATTAAAAATATATATTTTTGAAAAAATAATCGGCCGAAAAGAGCGAAGATAAAAACATAAACAAAATAGAAAAATATTGAAAATATTCGAAAAGCAAAGTCTGTGAATTCAAACCTTGTGTATATAATAAAACAGTTATTCCACTCACTCTCGTCGAATATGAGCGATAGCCGATTCGGCGCTACGCGCCTCATCGGCTATTAGCTCATATTCGACTCGAGTTCGTAGAATAACTGTTAATTATCATGTGAGCAAAATAAAGCAATATGGTTGGCTAATTTTCTCATGAATTATTAATGAGATATGTTAATACACGACGTTGATCAAAATGGACTACATACAACAAGTTGAACTTACCGTATACGACCCTTTCCAGTTATATCTCCTTTTAATGCTATGGCCTGATCCAACATCTTAAAAACTGGTTGTACGATTACTTTGTCTTTGACTGGTTTTCCACGTAGCCAGTTCACTAGTATCTTCAAACCAAATATCTACAGGGTGTATAAAAAACAACTGCAAACTGCTCTAATTCTTTCTGTCACTTTCATTTGATCTTATCCGTGAGTCGGCCTCAACGGCCTTTGATTTTATAAATAGTTTTAACCTCGTAACTATCCCGTTTAAAAGATTTTAACATTTATCGAAATGAGAATAATAATAAAATATCTGTCAATGAATTAATTTACTGCATCACTATGAAGTAACCAATCATCTCCTTCAGCAATGAATTTCAAGAACTTGGTTCACTTCACTTGGTTCACGGTATGCATAGAGAAATAGCACATTGGCTAATAACCGAGGGCCGATTGTTCAAAAGCCGATCAGCTTAACCCTAGGTTAACCTAAAATTCAAAGCAAACATCCTCACAGCTTGTCTATAAATTTGGAAATGTTTCTTCAGATATCTTGTCTGGATCGATAGGAGTTTACTTCTTTGACGTTTTGAAATAAACAGACGTGCAGAAATACAAAAAACTAAAACAGCAGGTTAAGTTTTAACCAAGAGTTAGCACTAACCTACCTTTGAACAACCGCCCCGGGTATGATTTACAATTACTTGATACCAACCTTGGCTTTTACTTCTTTAGATAATTCATCTTCCTCACACCACAACGCGCCACTTTTAGCGATCTTACCCTGCGAAAGATAAACATTTTATTTTATTTATTTATTTATTATACAATTACTTTATGGTTTCCGTGTTTGGATGGCCAGATCCAAACACGCGGGAATGTTGCGAGAGTTAAGAAAAGCGCGCGAAAGCACGAGCCGAAGGCGAGTGATTTTGCGCGCTTTTCTTAACTCGAGCAACATTTCCAAGTGTTTGGATCAGGCCATCCTAACATGGAAACCATAAAGTAATTGTTTTATAAAATAACAACAACACGATAGTCTTCCGTGTTTGGATGGCCTGATCCAAACACGGGTTTCGACCAATCAGAACACGCGTTATATACATGTTATTTTATAATTAGCTTTGCCAACTAGGGCAGGGTCACCAGAACAGCATATGCCAATTACTGCACGTGGGCCCTTTTACCTAACCCACCCTGTCAACTTTCCCTGTGAGAGGAAACCGCAGTACCCGGGGAAAACCCACAACTTTCGACAGAGCGTTGACTTTTATTCTTTTCACATGAGGACTGGGTTCGAGTCACATTGAGAAAGTACTCACTGAGGCTTGAACCTGCGGCATTAGAGGTGAAAGGCAAGTGCGCTAACCACTTGGCCACCGAAGTAATCTTTATCATAATTTGATATACGCATGCGGTAATGATTTTAGTAACCTGTATACTTGATAACCATATGTGACTGATGATCTTACCATGTATTATATGATTTATGTAGCTCTAACATGAAATAGCTTTGCTAGTGTATATCGGAATCTTTCAAGTTCATCTCAAAACACTAATTGAAGAATTGCTAGAGCAAAAGAATACTGGAACCTTCAATGTTTATCATGGTGCATGCACACTTCACAGATTTGTCACCATAGGCGTACGTACGAGACAGGGGAGGCAACTGCACCCCCCCCCCCCACCAAAAAAAATTTTTTTTTGTAGAAAACCATGGAAATTTGGGCAAATGTTAGGAAAGATCAAGAATATTTGGGCAGATGTATCAGAAAATATGTTAAATTGAGGTTATTTCAATACAATCCTCCATAAAAAAATTGGACAAGCCCCTGTTTCAGGATTACACCACTGCCAATGAAGTACAAGTTGGAAAGAAAACGCGTTAAGAGCGACCTACCCGATCTTTCAGCAATAACTCCTTGACAACAAAATCTCTAATAATAGTCGCATGATGAGGTTCAAACACTGCAGGTGAATGGAGAGCGATCTCACTGATACAAGATAAAGTAGCGAGTATTGACGATGATCCATAATCGAGCGATTTCACACGATTCTACAGAAAATAATTAAAAAGTTTACTGTACAGTATATAAATCTCTTTATAAAACTCAATAATTCATGAGGAAAAGACAAAGGAAATCACTGCCGTGTCAGCGGTTTTATAAGTCATAAAAAATCATCTTCATTTACATAAACTTTAGCTTTCATTTTCTCAGCTTAAACAACGTTTATTTTTAAAATTACTTCGCCAATGATGGGTCGTTTTTTAAGTACTATTTAAAGCACGCGTAGGAGTGTTTTATCACATATAAAACACGACGCGTAGCGGAGTGTTTTATATGTGATAAAACACGACTACAAGTGCTTTAAATGGCTTAAAAAACGACTCAGCTTATACGAGTTCATTGGCGAAGTAATTTTTAAAATAAACTTTGTCTAAACCGAGAAAATCAAAGCTAAAGTTTATGTAAATTAACATGATTTTTTATCACATATATAACCACGACACGCTTATGATTTTTCTTTGTGTTTTGCTCCTGAATTATTAATGAGTTTTTTAAGCTATTTATAAAACACTCGCAGTCCGTGGTTTATGAGATATAAAATACTCGCAGGCCTTAAAATATCTTTTCCAGGGCCGTCTGACAAGATGTCCGATGACTTTGAGTTTGGTCGGACATATGTCCGATGACTTCAGTTCATTTTGGGTCGGAAATAAGTCTGAATGACGCAAATTAATATCAGCATAATGTATTCATTCTGAACTAAATGTTGTGAAGATATTAAATAATTTGTGTCATTCATACTTATTTCCAAGCCAAAATTAACTTGCTTGCCAATGATAGCAGTACGACTTCGATAACTTAAGCCCGTTTTCCACCTCACCATTTCACTCGCTGCCCCGCAACATTTTCGGTTCATTTTTATACAAACTCTGGTTCTGGACTAGGGTACATTTTGATTTACGTGCGTGGAGAAAGCGTCAGACAAAGCTACAGTTCGGTCGGACACCAATACACTCACGTCGGACAAACAATAAACCTCAGTTTCACTTAGGTCGGACAGAATGTCCGGTGGTTTCCTCTCTACGTCGGACAATTTGATGAATGGGTCGGACAATGTCCGTGACCGACCGATATTTTAAGGCCTGTACTCGAGCTGCGCTCTCGTGTTTTATATCTTATAAAGCACTCCTGCTCGTGTAGTAGTACTTAATACTTATACAACCATGCATATTCGGTATATCTAACCAATAGTGAAATATGGTATATATATAATATTCTCAAATTAAACTCCCAACCACGCTCTTACTTATATATACTAACGAAACGTCTTGCAGAACAAAGACAGAAATATACAAATACATAAAACTCTATAACTGAACTTTAGCTGTGCTTTTTTTTTACTTTTAAACTAGCCAGCCAATCAGTGAAGGAAAAACCTGGTCAAAGACCAGGCCTAGGCTTGTGAAGCATGCAGGACTTTCAAAATAAGCTGGCAGGTGCCACGAGGTTCACCGCCGGTTACTTTGTTTAGTACTTGAAATATCAATTCTGTTCTCCTTCCTCCACTCTAAGCTTTCAAACAAAGTTATTTTTCCTCATCCTGGCCTATACTTATAGCCTGGTTATTTTCGAAAACCACGTATTGTTTCGTTAAAACTGATTTAGTTATTTACCATCTAAAATCTTGAAGTTATCTTATTGAAGAATGAAAGTAGTGATACATTATAATTTGGTTACAGAGTTGTGTTGAGATCTAATCAATATACACTTACTGTATATCTAGCTGATTTGGGTGACTTTAAGACTCTCTAGACCCCCCTCCACAGCCGCCTACGTTATCACCACAGCCACCTACTTTGTCACCACAGCCACCTACTCAGAATAATTCCAAAAGCCCTGGCTTTACACAACATCATAACATTTTCACAACATTTTCAAGTTTTTTTAAAAAAATAGTTTTTAAAAAAGTTTTAAAGGAGTTTTAAAAAGCAAAAAAAGTTTAAAAAGTTAGATTTTTAAAAAAGTTTAAAAAGTTAAAAAAACTAAAAAGTTAAAAAAGTTAGGGTTAGGGGTTAGTGGTTAGGGGTTAGTGGTTAGGGTTGGGGTTATGGTTAGTGTTAGGTGCCGCGAATTTATTATTATGATAAATTCAAAATTTGCCGCGAATTTATCATAATGATAAATTCGGACGTGTTTAAGAATTTACTCATATAGTAAATTCAAAGGTGGAGCTCATGCTGCATTTTCAGAAGGTTCATGCGATTTATTCTAATTTTAGAGTCTGTAGAATTTACCTCCAATATTCTTTTAAAGATTGTTGATGAATTGGGATATGTTTTGGTGATAATGCGACCTGCAAGTTTCACTTGTGATGGTTTTCCCTTGGCGACAATTACAGTGAGTGCAGGTTGGAAATGACTATAATAAAGAAATGAATACAGGATATTACATCTTGTAGATATTAATACACCATTTATTTAATAATGAAAATTTCTTCTTCCTCAAACAAATTCGTCTAGTGGAAAACGGGCTTGAATAAAATAAAATTCTGAGGCGGACTTGGAACGTTCGGCCGACAAGACGTTTGGCTGTCTCACAAACTAATTTCCAAAAATTATCTACTGAAATATGTTTATGCATGTATACGAGTGTTCACCAAAAACTTTGAGTCGATAAAATTATTTCCGTGAGTTACAGAAATGTTATTGCTGACGTCAGCACTAAACTGGGGTCGTTTTGAATCTTGAACAGTGCCACTCGCACCAAAGATGATTTTTTGTTGGTGTAATATTCGAGTCATTCTATACGAAACAATTTAATATATCTTCGTTGGTGAAAAACTCATTTTCGACTTTTTCACTGAAGAAGTATCCGGATATGACGCTATTAATGTAGATGGATTGCAAATAACTTTCTTTTGCTGTTAAATGCATAATGACATCATATCCGGTAACTTTGAAAGTGAAAAGGTTGAACAAGATGATTTTTACTATACAATGATATATTTATTTTCTGTGTTGGTATAATGTACTCAGGTGAATAAGATGCTTGTGATGTTACTATGAGTGTATATCCACACCGGGCAGGCTTGAAAAATATACCTGGCCACGGTGGGAATCGAACCTACGACCTTTGGAATACTAGTAGCGTAGCTCAGTTGGCAGAGCATTGGGCTAGTATTCCAAAGGTCGTAGGTTGGTTCCTACCGTGGCCAGGCATATTTTTCAAGCCTGCCCGGTGTGGATATATACTGTACACTCAGAGTAACACCACAAGCAAAATTATATTTAATTACATTTCTTCTAGATCCCAAAAATCATATTTAGGGTTGACAGAACTTTAAATGTTTTCTAATGTGTCTTTCTTGTCGTGTGCCAAAGAAACGAAATATCACAGTAAAGTTTGCAGCTGCGGTACTTACGAATATGACGTTGCATCGATTTCTTCTAAACCTTGTCCAATGTGTATAAGTATCCGCAAAGCGTAATCAACTGAAACAGAAATACGTATAACGCATTCATATCTCGAGTGTTAAGTCCTGGGCAAACTAGGAAACATTGTTGCGGAAACATCGTTTCCTGCCAATGTTTCGCCATGTTTCCCAGAATTGGCAAACACTAGGAAACATTAGTGAGAAACATATAGGGATGTTTCTGAATTTGCTAGGAAACATTTTTGCTTCTCGGGAAGCAAATTTTGTTTCAGCAACAATGTTTCCACGGGTGGGCAAACAGGGAAACATTTGAGGAAACATCGAGAATCACAAATGTTTCCACAACAATGTTCCCTAGTTTGTCCAGGGCTTTAAGCTAGCGTCAGTGGAGCTCCATATTTATCTGAAGTATATAAGAACTCGAGTCCAAAAAGTGAAGCCAAAATGTCAGAAATTGACGTCCAGCACCAGTCCCTTTCTATTTTTTCGGTTAACATGAAGATGCAAAGAATGTGCCGAAATGTCGTGTTTTGACTTCGTTTAAAGAATAATACTATGGATTTATCAACTGATAACTTGATTAGCGAATGCCGATACGGGAAAAATTGTACGAAAAACTGTTTACCACCTTCATAGATTTTGCACGACAATTCCGCCATCTTGGCCCCGCTTTTCTCATAGACCGAATAACTTAAGTTCTTGCTCCAGATATATTGCTCCAGAGAGAGAGCTCACTGGCTAGCGTTGATTAACTAGATTGGTTGAAAGATCCAAATACCGTTATAAAAAATACTTGGATGTTTCAAACGAAGCATCTTTCAACCAACCTACGTAAGTAGTAAGTACTGTACGCGATTTATCGTACCCTGAGATAGCATTTACAATTTTGAAGGTCTCCCAGCAAGAATGCTCATCACTTTAAACAATGCAAGGGTTGGCCATTAGATTTCTCTCATTGTGAGTGGCATGCATGCAGCTTTGAATTAATTATCACTGCTGTTCCAACACTCACCTAAAGGTTCTCCTTTCTTCAGATACATAAGGAGTTGTTGAAACAAGAGGGGGGATTTAAACTCTGTAGGAAATACCGTCACACAGGTCTGAAAACATTCATAAACAAATTGCGTTAACACAAGAAATGTATACTATTTAGTGGTGTCTTAAGAGAATAGTACACTGTATAATGGCTCAACATAATCTTTACCACAGATTTAACAAATTCTATAGTAAATGGTTGCCTCCTTGCCACGATATTACCAATGTAACAACTCACAAGGAAATCAGATTCTGAAGAAGGCCTTCTTGAAATCATCATCACACAGAAAAAATTAAAATTGTTGGCTGATCATGGTTTAAGGAGCTATACAGTAGGTATTGTAGACGCATTAGTAATTCTAAATTACAGTAACAAATGAGGTAAGAAAGAGCTCACCAGAAGTAAGTCTAAAGCTTTGCGGCCATTTGTACCGACTTCATCTCTATCAAATGTCTCGCTATCTTCTTCACTAGAAACATCGTCATCAAGAACTTCGTCATTCACACATTTCGTTACTAATGTCACCAGTTCTTTGCCAGATGATGTGTCAATCAATAATGGCGCTGCACGATCTAAGATTGCTTTGATTGTTTCGAAAATCGGATTCTTTCCACCAAATTTTACAACTTCTTTCTACAAATAAGAAAGGCAGACATTGCTAAGTTATGCCAATCTTCATTGGCAAATACTGCAGAGGTGTAACTTGACGCTTGCCCGCGGGGCAAGTGAATATCATGACGGGCAAGTAAATGTTTTATCTTGCTTGCCCGTTTGGGCAAGTTGCCTTGCCATAAGCTGGGCATCTTTAAGTTTATGTTTTCATTGTCGGATAATTTTTTTATAGTGTATGTACTTGATTCAAATTTTGTTTTTCGTGGGTCTGAGGCAGTATAACATAGCCATATAGAGCAGTGGGAGAACGGGTCGACATGTTTCCCCCCTTAATTTATACCCCCTACCTAGGTACCCCAGTGGCCATTGTCTGATGGCAAATGAATTTTATTCAGGGCAACTAATTTTCATGTCCAACTCGAAATATTAGGTGGCGCCAAGACGCTTCTCCGTCTCGGTGAATATCCTGGCGTAGCCTGCGATCTTTGCACTATTCACCTCCACTTCGGTGAATACTCGTTAATTATTAATAATTTGGTCGAAAACCGACCATACTGTAGATCTAGAATACGTATACTAGCTCTGTCACGAACCATCAGCCCAACTTTTTAAGCTTCTAAATCTAACCGCATGTAGACGTCCTTACCAAAAGAGCCTGGTATGAGTGGAAATGCTTTTAAAAATCTGTCATTTCTTTTTTTACTGAGAAGACATGGGAGTTCACCTTTGATACCTATTAGGGAGTTTACGATCTACGACGCGGCCGGCTCGACGACGCGCTTTCAAAACAAAAAAAATTGGTGTTTCCACAAACAATAGTATTATACTGTATGTTTTATCTGCATGCAAACCTACAAAGAACTTACAAAGAAATTTGTCATACAAGACAAAAACTGTCAATAATTCGTGGTCCCAGGAGTATTGTCAACCGCGTTGTCATTCTCAACACAACGTTAAAAAAGCATTATTACGTCTTTCAGTCAACGTGAAAGCTTAATGCAACACAAGAGGTGTTACTTAAAGTCGAAATTACAGCAAACATTGCATCCCTTCAGCCGAACGTAGCAGTTTGTAAGGTTATTTGAAAAAGCGTGAAATATTTTTTTACACACTGTTAATTTGAAGGTGTTAAAATAGCACCTTCGTAGGTGTTAAAATGACACCTTGTGGTGGTGTTAAATGAAAAGTGTTAATCTAACACCAATTTGGGTGCTGAATTAACACCATGAAGTTGGGAATTGATTTTGAAGTGCTAAATTAGCACCATAGATATTTAACACTTTTCTAGGGTGTTAAAATAACACCCATTCTATTGAGTGAAAGTGTTAAAGTAGCACCGTTTTGAGAGTTAAACTTAGGGTGTCAAAATAGCACCTCGTGAACCGGTTTTCAGTCTTTTCAGATTCAAAGTGGCGGACCACGTAGGAGCGGTTTACGTTTTTCAGACAAGTAAATGGGGCAAAGGATCATCTTTTTACATATTATCGCCTTTAATGTAATCCTTGTAGGGCCTCATTGAAAAACTAATAAAAAATAATCGAAGCAATCTGTCATTTTGGTGTTAGTGATGTCAGGAAAGTGTGCAGTGATAAACAGTAAAAATATGCAGTGAAAAGAAATTGTGTGGTGATGACAAAATATGTTCATGCAAGGGAGATATAACAAGACAGCTAGAATTTTAAAGTTAAGAGTCTCTGTCAAAAAACCCTCAGAAATGCAGGTTTATTTGCACTGGATTGGTCACATGATTGAGATCAGTGCCTTCAGAAGGGCCTCCCAGAAGGCTTGGCGAGCACATTTCTAGCGCGTCGTTTGGAAATTTTCATTTAACGTCGGTTGATAAAGCCAAGATTTCTTAAATTATAGTAGAAAATAAGAAGAAATACTCCATTGTTTGAAGATTCAGACAATAATTGTAAATGTAAGTGCTCAACTATGTCAATATTTTTAAGTTTCGTGTGTAAATATGTGGCATAAATAGTAATATATTCATGTATATTTTAACCGCCATTACCGTTGGCCGCATTGTATTTTGTATTTGGTTCAACAATATATTGTTATTAAAAACATTAAAACTTAGTGATATTGCTTTGTATTGACAGGTTATAATTTCAAGCAATAAATACTGTCATAGTATGTGTTCTAAGCAAGTCGAACTGTCGAAATCATGATATATACAGGCTACAAGAAGGTATGAAATATACAATTATATTTACAAGGGCCCACAAAGGAAGGATTGTTCGCTCATACAAAGCCATGTAACTTGCTTTGGCGATTAGATAAATATTAGCTAAATGAGTTAATATTGACACCCTTTCAATAATGATCAATACATTAAAGTTAACAATATAAACATTTATATTTGTTATTGTATTGATCTATTGAGAGGAT